GCTGAAATCCCTTGCAGTTGCTCTCTGAAGTTACAAATGCCTGCTTTTTGCCCCCATTCCCCCTCAAATAGCAGCATGCTTGGCTGGGATCTGTTTTGCAGGCAGAGCTCTTGTCAGCATCCTGGAGGTGGCGTAGTATGGGGCAGGGCTTGCTAAGAAGGGGGAAAAATGACTTCCTTGCATTTTCAGGGTCTTTAGAATCTAATTACCACAAGTATTCAAAGCATGTGGGATACAGCCCAAAGGAAATGGCATGCACAAAGGGAACTGCTGTATATTATTGCTGTCCAGAAGAGAGAAAAGATGTAGTTCACAGAGCTTCACATGGCAAAGGGGTTTGAGAGAACCTCGCTGAATTCGGTCAGGCCTTTTTATCCAGAGGCTATAATGAAAGATGTTTTAAATCTTCCCTTTTTAAACAGAAGTGCAAGCCTTCAGTTTATAAAAACACCATGGTGGAGATGCTTCAGACATCACCATTTTTATTTGGTTTTGGCACCGGTTTCTCCACCAGATAAATTTGTTCCTTTTCAATTGTTCTGTTGGCTGAAGATGGCGAGGTGTGAATTGTAATGGCTCTTGCCTCCCAAAAGGGAGGCGGGGTGACTCGGTGTCAAGACACTGGCTTAGGACTTGGAAAACAGTCCCTGTGACTGGGTCCATCTCTGTAGCAGTGAAAAGCAGATTATTTTAGCCTGTGGAGGGGCACTGCTTCCATGGCCACACAGAGTTGTTTTGGGCAGTGTAGATTTGCACGGAGTCTCTTTGTGCCTCTGTTCTGTAAAATCGGAGTACAAGTCCTCTTTTCCCTGGCAGGGGTTTTGTGAGGGGAACTGTCTAAAGATGGTAAAGCCCCAAGTACTCTGGCAATGGAGACGATATTTATAATGGAAGATCATCTTGATTTCCCTTGGAATGTGGGGAAATATCCCCATTTTAGAGATGAGGTGCATATAGTCGGGGCTCCCTTCCAGCACCAGTGGCTCTGTCATGGACTGGGAAGCAGAGCTGCACCTAGGCTGCTGGACCAGTCCTTTAGTCCCTAGTTGTTTGGCTTTGGTTGAGCAGTTGTAATACTTCTGAAAGGTCCCCCGGGGTCTTTGTTTCTGGATTCCCTTCTGAATTGACAGGCAGCATTGGCTTGTTTCTGGAAGGGTGTGGAAATAACCATGTGGCTGCTTCTCCTTGAGTGGTTCACGGCATGGATCACTTAGTATTTGCTCTTAAAAATAGATAGGAAGCAAATCATTAAATTAGCAGGGAAGCATCTTCTTCCAGGACCTGTGACCTGCCAGCATGGAGTTTGCCAGCTGTAAATACAGATTTGGGGTCAAACTGGGAACAGGCGGGCAGAGAAAATTGCTCAGTGAACTTTTTTCAAAGAAAGTAATTTTTTCCGCTGCACTGGGCTTGAAAGTGGGGAGAACAGCAGGCCTGATGAAACATGCAGGCATTTCAGAGAAGGGTGGCACAGCCTTCCAGCGATTGTGAGTTTGCTTGTTGCATAGTGCATGCAGCAAAGGAGAGTGGTCAGAACCCATAACAGCAACATGCTGGAGAGATTGTGTCCCTCTTGGAAAAGGACAATTCCACTTGGCACCGGGCTCCTTTCTTATTATTTTTGGCTGGCTGTGATGAGAGGTTTGTAAAACCGAGGCGACAAAACCAGGAAGCTTTTGCAACTTTGGAGCTATTTTCAATTTGAAAAAGCAGCACTAAATGCAAATATCTGAACTGCTGCTTAATCTGAGCAACTTGGTTTTAATATCTCTGCTAGCTAGAGCACGGGGTGGAGGAGGAGGAGCTTGGCCTGGGGTTAGACTTGGGGCTTAGGAGCAAGAATCCTTGTCCCTGCTCTGTATGAGTGTCATGCTTTGCCCTTGAGTGACTCATCTGGCCTCTCCCTGCCTTGATTTCCCAATCTAGAACAAGGGCTAATGCTTTCCTATTGGTGTTGGAAGATTTGGAGCTGAAAGCACTAGGTATTTTTCATGAGTGCTGGTCAGAAAGGGAAGTTTAAATGATAAATCCCACCTTGCCCAGCTTCTATTCTGTGCTAGCCCTGAACAAAGCATTCTGGATACACCCACCTGGGCCTTGAAGGCTCTAATCCCATTAATGTCTATATAATCTTGCAAAATGCCTGTAGCAGGAGGCTGAGTAAAGCAGCCTGGTTATTTCTCTTTTGTTTGCTCAATTTTTTTTATTGTCATGGTAACAGTGGGCGAGTGGAATCTGGGTGTTGGGGTTGGTAAATGTTTACGACTCACGTTCAAGGGTGGGTGGAAGGACACGAAGAAACAGTTAAAAATCCAAGCATGCCTTCCCCTGGGATAACCTACAGGAGTGCAAGCTTCATATATAGTAGGGATCATCTGTACGAGTTGAGGTGCGCTGCTATGGGGGTTGGACTAATGACCTCTGGAGGTCCCTTCCAGCCCTGCTTCTCTGGTATGGGGGCTCTCTGTAGAGTTGAGATGCTGCTCATGTTCACATCAAATAGCGTCGCCTCTAAATTCTTCCCAGTCCCCTTCAAATCCTGTCAACCTCCTGCAGGCTGCTCAGAGTAGGTAGCCAGAGGCTCTCCCCTTCCCAGAACTGTCACTGCTGACCTTTCTCATTGCTTTGTTTCAGCTTTGAAGTGTGCAGACCTGCCACTGCTATGGGTGACGCGATCCTAGACCCAGCCCCTGGGAGACCCTTGGACAAGTCATCCAGCCCAGCTTCCCAGGGGAATGGCGGGACCTCTCTCAGTGTCATCACGGAAGGCGTGGGGGAGCTGGCTGTCATCGACCCCGAGGTGGCGAAGAAAGCCTGTGAGGAAGTCCTAGAGAAGGTCAAGCTGATGCATGGCATCTCTCCGGACTGCTTGGCAAAACAAAGCAGGGGCAGTGAAGCAGAGGCTGCTCTGCGGAGCCGTGTGGAGCTGCCCAACGGAGACTTGGGACAGGGCTGTGAAATCAAGTGCTTGGATGACCCCCCAGGTACACCCTCCAAGATCCAGGAGGAGGATGAGACTGTGGCCAATACGGTGAAGAGCGCCCGGAGGCGGCAGAAGAACAACTCTGCTAAGCAGTCTTGGCTGCTGCGGCTTTTTGAGTCCAAACTCTTTGATATCTCCATGGCCATCTCATACTTGTACAACTCAAAGGAGCCCGGGGTACAAGCATACATTGGGAACAGGTTGTTCTGCTTCAGGAACGAGGACGTGGACTTCTACCTGCCCCAGCTGCTCAATATGTACATCCACATGGATGAGGACGTTGGGGATGCCATCAAGCCCTACATCGTGCACCGCTGCCGGCAAAGCATCAACTTCTCCTTGCAGTGCGCCCTGCTGCTGGGTGCCTACTCCTCAGACATGCACATCTCCACTCAGCGACACTCCCGTGGGTCCAAGCTGCGTAAGCTCATCCTCTCCGATGAGCTGAAGCCAGCTCACAAGAAAAGGGAGCTACCGTCGCTGAGCCCAGCTCCCGACACGGGGCTCTCACCTTCCAAAAGGACTCACCAGCGCTCCAAGTCAGATGCTACGGTTAGCGTCAGCCTGAGCAGCAACTTGAAACGGACCGCCAGCAATCCCAAGGTGGAGAGTGAGGATGAGGTAACGTTGACATCTTTTTAAAGTGCTCTGGTCTAAAGGAGTGTTTGCAACACCACACGTGTGTTTGGTTCTCAGCTCATCCTTTGCTAGAGGTGTTTCTTTTAGCTGGCACAGTATAAGTTGCCTTTCCTTTTTCAAGCAAACTGGCATTGTGTTACAGTAGGACTGGCTGGGAAATATGCTACCCATCCTTCCAGGGGTACAGACATTACCCTTCTCTGCAACTTTTGGTTTCAAAGGGCTACAGGTGCTTTGCAGTGGTGGGTGAAGCTCATTACCCATCTTTAATGGACGAGCTGAGGCAACAGGGTGGGGACTTTGGGACCTGGGCCTAGATCTCCAAGCCATCCACTTCCTGAATGACCGTGGACAAGTGTTTAATTTCTCAGTGTTGTTTTGTCTCTGCAAAAATGGCTCCCCTCCTCCCATCTCAAAAGCCCTTAGAAAGGCAAGCTGGGCCTTTGTGAGGGGCGATGTGTTGGTGATCCAGTGGTAGTCTCAAAGTAAAGCCAGTCTCCTGCTCCCTAGCTCTGAGTTTGGCTCCTGTAGGAGGATGAGCTGCTGTAGAAGTCTGGGGGTGCTGTGTATGGATTGGTCCTTGCTGGTACATGGCATTGCCCCCAACCCCTTCCCCCCTTCTGGCTGTGTGAGTCTTATTCTTCCTCTGATAAACTGATTACATACATGTCAGCAAAACACAGGCTAGCTCCTTTCTCCAGGCTGGTCCTTCTGTTCGCTGACGTGGGAGCTCATCAGAGGAGCAGCGTGAAACTGCGGCCGTGATGCAAATAGAGCAAGTGTTTCAAGCATCTGCAGCACTTTATTTCTGCCCCCGACCCCTGCCTTATATTGATTGAGGAAAGGGCTGCAGAGAGGGTGGTTACTAGTTGGTGTGACTGGGGGTGGTAGATGCAGGGGAAGAGGAGGTGCTATGGCTGCCCTTCCTAGGTCCCACAAAGGAGGAATCAGTGCTATTTAAAGAGGAGGTAACCTTAAGCGAAGGCACCTGGTATTGTGCAGAGACTCCTGGATGGCTCTGTCCATTTGGTTCCCCCTCACCGTCTGCAAGGAGCATTGTCCCTGCTTGTAAGAACAGCAGTCCTGGCCTGTCCATGGCGACTGCTGTTCTTGTTGCAGGAACCTGGTATTGTGACAAGTCCTCCTTTCTCCTGGCCCTAAGGTGGGGGAGGTTAGACTCCATTGAGCTAGGCAGGTCACGCTGCATGAGGGAATCATGGAGGAGTTGGACTAGCGGGGCTCTCTGGAAGCCATGTCTAGTCCAGCCCTTTCTCAGGCAGGCTCAGCCCTGGCTAAACCATCCGCAGCAAGTGTCCTTGGAGTCTGGTGTCATTGTCTTCGCTTCTCCACCTTGGTGTTGTGCGTCTCCCAAGCCTCATGACCAGAGCCGGGTTATCTGACTCCTTTTAAACATGGAGAAGTCATGTAGGCAGACGTGGGCTTGGTGCAGCCCTCCTCCATCTGCTGCCTTTTGTTCCCTAGGAGTGAGCTCGGTGCTGCTTGTATTCCTCGTGTTTCCCCTTCAGCCAGGTTTCTTACAGTATTCATCTGGAGGCATCTGCTTCTCAGCTGGCAAGTTTGATGCTGTCCAGAGCTCCAGGCTGAGGGTGGCAGGGGGGGAATCAGAGTTTCATTGTCCTGCTCTCAGCTGACCTTGCTCTCCCCACCCTGTGGGGTCTTTGGGTTGGTGATGTAATGAGAGGCGTGGGGTATATTTTCAGTGGCATGCGTCTGATAGTGGGAGCAAAGGGGCTGGGGAGGTGAAGAGATGTCGAGGGCACCGAAAGTGAGCTATGCTCACAGATCAGAGAGCCTTCAGTAATATTTGCTCCAAAAGCTGAAATGCTCTTGAGCTGGTGAGTCACATTGCAGCCGGCTGGGAGCCATGCTTGTTGTGGCCAAGTTTAAATCCAGATGGGGTTGACTCAGCACCTCCTTCCTTCCCAGGTAGAGGAGCTGCATTCCCAGCTGCTTACTCTGGCAGGAGGCTAGTTGTCTCTTCAGAGGAGATGTGGGTTTTCCTCCCTCTCTCCTCTGTCTAGGCCAGTGGTTCCACAACCTTTATAGACTTGAGACCCGTCTCGGAAAATGTCAGCTCTTGGTTTTCACTCACTTTTCAACTCTGGAAAAATAATAAAGCAGTTCTTCTGGTGCTAAGAACACAGAAAGATCCCAGCAGGGCAGAGTGGTTTTAATGGTGTGGATTCCTATTTGAAATCACTGGGTTTATCTTGTGAATCATGTTTGCACATCTAACCGTGCTAATGTTGTGTGGCTTCCTGCAGCACTGGCAAGGGTCTTGAGGTGCCCCAGAGTGTTGCAGCACCTGGTTGAGAATCACTTGTCTAGACATTAAAGGTCTTGTGAGTCATGGTGCAACAGCAAAGCATGTATGCTGGCACTCTTGGCAGGACACCCTTCCGCTGTCTTGCCTCTGCAGGGGATTACTCAAGTAGTTTATGAGGGCTGTGCATTCCCTGTGTGCATTGCACCTGTGACAGCCATCCTGCATCCGCTCTATAATCAGGGAGTCTAGCAACACACATTTTTTGTTGTGTTAGCTGACCGCAGCTCATCCCATAAACTATTTAAACCTATCTTCTACCACTCCCCAGATGTTCATGCTAAATTCCTCCTTTGGAGCATGAGCCAGGGGAAACGTACCATTTGCAAAGGAGTCTTTCGTGTCCCTGCCAGCTGACAGCTTGGTCGAAAACCACTGGCTGCTGCGAAGCAGGATGCTGGGAGGTTTCCTCTACTTGGGTTGGCTGCGGCTGCTTGCATCGGGGAAACCAAAGCCTTCCATAAATTATAGACGAGTTTCTCTTGGCAGTGTTCAGAACCTATTTCAGTCCGGAACTGCATAAGCCAGGTTAGTGCAACACAGGCCCCATTGGCACCTGAATGGCTTAAGAGCCCTGGGATGGCCTGTTCAGGTCCACCATCTGACGCTTCAGATTCCTGAACGCTATTGTTTCATATAGCTAAGCTCCTCCAATTCCCCCCCCCACTTGCAGATGGGTTCAGGAGGCAGCTCTTGAAGGGAGAAGAAACAGGTCTGACTAGCAGTTGCTCCATCCATGTGCTTAGGGCAGTGTTGAGGTGATGGGAAGTATTCTCCATGCAGATTTTTACCCAGCCCTGGCTGCAAGTTGCAACAAGCTCAGGGCTCTTCTCAGCTGCGTTTGTGCCCTGATGGGCTCCAACCAGGTCCCCAGCCCACCCTCTACCCTAGAAGCTGGCTGCATGGTCAGTCGAAAGCCCTTGCATTGGCTGGATCATCCTCATCATCAGGGGGTTATATCCACCTCTTTGCAATGCTGTCCTGTCCACAAAACCCAGTGTTTCAGGGGCTGTATCAACACAGAACAAAGAGCTGGTCTTTATACCCCAGAGTAGAAGACAAGAGCCCAGGGGTGGGGATGGACAAGGTAGAAGACTGGGGGGGGTGGTGCAAGGAGAGGTAGTGAAATGGGCATGTTGGCAGCCTACCAGTTGCTGAGTGTTTTGCATAGACATACAAGGAATAGTCTCAGGAGGGGTGTGTGGAGGCTTAGGAGAATGGGGTTAAGCCCTCAAGGGCCATGAAGCAGTGCATCATGGAAGGGGACATTGCCATAACCGAGGACAGGGCCCAGGCTCCATTGTTGCCTACATGAGCTGCCACCTCCTCCCAAACCTGCAAAACCCCAGGTATGACCACAACCGAGCCGCGATGGTGAGCTTTCATCAGCCAGCCTGAATGTTACTGTAGTGCTGGAATTTCCTGCTTCATGGACCGTCTGTTGGGACCCACCTGGAGGAAGAAGAATGGGAGATGAACACGGGAGGCAGTAAGTGGTGGGGTAGCACTGGGGTTTTTTGCTGTCATGGTGGCTCTGACTTTTTTGTCCTGAATATTTCCAACCAAAGATGAAAGGAAGTGACTAGATGCAACCTCATCAACAGGCTGAAAGAAGAATTCATTAGCCCAGACTGAAATGCTGGGCTAACAATCCCTATGTGGAGGGATGGATTATAGAAGGACCTTGGGTCCTTAAATGTAGAGACTAGAGAGACACTTGTTACTGAGCCTGTCTTGCCCAAAGAGGCTTCTGATGCCTTTGGTGCCTGGATTAAGCAAGTCCTAATGCAGCTAATGCTATAAAATAATACTGTAAAAATGCATTGGATATTGGTCCCATCTGATCAGCTGCCATGCAGTATGGTGCTTGAATGCTTCCCAGAGCTTGCTAGTATGTGTGGAGTGAGCAACCAGGTATAGACGGCGCTTGGGAAGCTGGATCTTTGGTGTTGCCACCCAGTTTGTAAGCAAGCACATCTACCTTCAACATGGCCATACAAAGAGCAAGGCTACTTTTGAATTCATAGGGCAACAGCTCCTTGCCTGTACCTCACTGTCGTAGATTCCCACTTTTCTCTGTCGTGAGGTCTCAAACTGTCTCCTGTAGTGTAAAAGTCACTGCCGATAAGGATTCTTGCGCCTCGCACATCTTCTGGACCATCGCCTCCACAGGAACCTCTGGGGAGAAGTGGACATGCCGGAGGGCAGGGAACAGCTGCAAGCAGACCTGGACAGGTTGGACAAGTGGGCAGAAAACAACAGAATGCAATTCAACAAGGAGAAATGCAAAGTGCTGCACCTAGGGAGGAAAAATGTCCAGCACACCTATAGCCTAGGGAATGACCTGCTGGGTGGCACGGAAGTGGAAAGGGACCTTGGAGTCCTAGTGGACTCCAAGATGAACATGAGTCGGCAGTGTGACGAAGCCATCAGAAAAGCCAATGGCACTTTATTGTGCATCAGCAGATGCATGACGAATAGGTCCAAGGAGGTGATACTTCCCCTCTATCGGGCGCTGGTCAGACCGCAGTTGGAGTACTGCGTGCAATTCTGGGCACTGCACTTCAAGAGGGATGCGGATAACCTGGAGAGGGTCCAAAGAAGGGCCACTCATATGGTTAAGGGCCTGCAGACCAAG